ACGATTATGTTTTTGAAACAGGACAGAGCAAGGTAGATTATTGCTTGCGAACTGTACTCAAGGTGTTCAAGGTTGTTTGAAGCTGAGCGAAATTCTATAGCCATCTCTTTTTTACACACTTTAAAGCTATATATTTATTTCACAAAAGTGATCTTCGTGCACGAACTTAATGCTAAACGGGAGACGCTGTGAAACGGAGTGCACGATATTTTCTTCCTCCCTCATTTGGACGGCGGTGTTTGTGTAGTGAACGTTGTTTTGCGTTGTCGTGGCACGTGCTTATAAAATAAAAGAAATACTTATTTATAATACACAGTTTTCCTTAAACCGAAAATAAACATGGCAGACGCAGCCGTCGAAAAGAAGTGAGTAATTTTAACATTTTTGTGTTATTAAAAGTATTTTTTTGCAAATATATTTTTGGCGGCTACGGAAACGTGATCAAAATGGCTTCCAATATTACTGTTTTACTGAATGTTTTATTCCTTTTTTAAAATCACAATTAATTTCTCATCACCTAGTCGTCACATGTTTATTGTAGTTGTTCAATACAATAGTGTTTATATTGGACATTTGTAGTTTACGGTTGTGTATCGAGTTAGACGCCGACTATGAATACACGCGGGAAAAGTCCTTGGGATGTATCTGGCGCTAATTTTAGGATTTATAACATCATATTCAATGCATAGTTAATGTATCAACAATTACTACTGGATTTTCATGGCCGTGTGGAAATTTATTGCATTACATTGAGCGGGGAAATTGAAAGCACGCTTGTAAGCGCGGGAGCGCTTAGTTCAAGATGGCGCTGTATGCGCGGCGTTCCGGCGCGACGCGACGGCGTCATTAGCGCGCTCGATTCAAATTTTGCCATCGCATGTTTTGCAACACGATAGAGGTAAAGCGGTTACGTTATCGCCAATCGCTAGGGACGTGTTCGTGTTGTCATTAGTTATTTTTAACCCTTTTGAGCTCGCGCCATAACCTACTGAAACGAGTGTATTCATTCAATAAAACGTTATGCATGCCTTGCAACTTTCTCGTAACGTAGACCTTATGCAAGATTTCGTACGTTTGTTTTATTACGTCGCACTTAATTGTTCACTTCACAATGGTAACTAATTAGTGGTAATAAGGAGTACTAATTATGAAAATATTATTGATCTTGTTAGAATGTTAATCTGATAAAATAAAAAAAGTAAGATTCTTATTTACTTTTATAATGATGAAACGTCCCTTTTAAGTTTAAAAATCTTTTTCAAGGATTTATATACTCGCGTAGTGATTTTACCTAAAGCTTTTTGTCAAGTTAAAAGTTTCTTTACATTTCAGTTTCTTTAGTTCATTCTGATTCAATGAATAAACAAAACGATAGTGTGATGTTTACTTAAAAATATAAATAAAACACCGTAGTTAATATATATTGGTACGACCACTGTGCCAAGTGAAAACTTTTTTTATGTTTTTAAATTTTTAATCTACGTTTTCAGGGAAGTTGCGACCGAGGAGGTCACTTCAACCGAAGCAGCGAAAGAATCGCCGGTGAAGAAATCTCCTGCGAAGAAGGTAGCTGAAACTGCAGAGAGCAACGGCAAAGAAGAGAATGGTGCTGAGGCCACTGAAGAAACTCCCGCGGAAAATGGAGACGCAGAAGAAAGCAATGGGGATGCGGAGGAAAGCAATGATGCCACAGAAAATGGAGATGCCACAGGTATATGTCTAAATATATAAAAAAAAGACTTAGAAAGTAGCCTATGTGTTTACCTATATTATGTTGTTCATCAAAATTTGAGCAAGTTTATTTGAGCTATTCTGGAAGTTTGCAGTAAATAACATTCATTTAAACTTTTGCATTAAAAATAAGAAGATTCAGTTCAGATTTTTTATTTAAATGTCTTTGAATTAATAAAAAATGTCTTTTTTACAGAAGTTAAAGAAGCTGGTGTGAAGAGGAAATCAACCGCAGCGGATAATGGTGATGCGGTTGAAAAGACCACACCAGAGAAGAAAGCCAAGGTTTCGGAGGAGAAAGCTCCCGCCGAAGCCGAGGAAGCAACGGCTTAAAGCCTTTAACATTGGAAATTTGGTTTACTGCAATGCATTTGTCCTACAGAGCCCAACTTCTAATTTACATATAACTTGAATTATTTACACATGTAAAAAAATAGTTTCTTATAGATTTTACTAGTTGATCTGATTAGAATGGAGTTGTGCTCTGAAGCGACCGCACTAACATTAGGTTATTTATGTATAAGATTTAAAAAGTATCCGATGAAAAGTAATCTCAATATTTCAATGTTTGAGACATAATTTGTACGATTTTTGAAGTTTTTTCAATGTTCAATCTGTCTGCTCACTGTTCAATTATTGGCTATTTGCTGTTATTTCATATGGTTAGTGAATTTTTCTGAAGTCAAAAGTAAGTGTTAATTTTCAGGGATTGTGAACTGTTCATGTTAATTTACTCTAAATAGAAACTAAGAAGAAAAGGTAATATTTCAAACTGTTTGAATAGTTTTTGTCCAATCTTCAAGGAATAGTGTAATGTGTCAAGTTATTAACTCCTGAGGAGTAGAAGCATTTTTTGGATACTTTTTCCCCCGCGTGTAATACATTTTTGTATTTAATATACCTGCAACGTACCTGTGTAAATTAATACATGTTAGTCACATTGTGAATGTGCATCGCAGTGAACCGATCACTAATTTCAGTGTTTGCTGTTTCCCTAACATTGTCTTACTTTTACATACGTAGGAGTTAATTCTAAGTATTATAAACGCGACTATTTGGTAAACGTATTTACGCCACAATACTGCCAAAGTTCACACAAAAGTGAAAAACTCACAAAATCCGTTCTGTGAACGATGCGTTTTATACATCTGTTTTTGGATTTTAGTTAAAAAGTTCTAGATAATTCAGTTTAACTTTAAGTTAGCGGTTAAATTTCGCACATTTATTACATAGGCATTATTACTTAACCATTGAAACATTCCTTGACTTGGTTACGGATTGCATTGTGAACAAAAACATGGCTCCATTTTGCTGCTCCGAAGACAAGTACTTTTACTTATGTATGGAGTTAATATGTTCACTTTCGCAACGATAATTATAAGATTTGAAATTAAAAAGTTCAAAGTTGACAAATAAGGTGATAGTTTCATACTGATAATACTGTGTGCTATTTTTATTCTATGGGTCTATATGTTTCTAATTTCTTTTTGTTTAATTTATTTCGCTTCTCTGAGTTAATTATTCAATAATAAAAATAAGGATTTTCAGACGACTTTTATAAATATTGAATTCCTACTTTGTATTCTGACATATTAACAATTTGTACCGTGTTAAGGGATATAACGATTTTAAATTTTTCATACTTGACGTATTCGAAATAAATATCTGATTGAAAGTAATTTAGTACTAGAATTTATAGTAGAGTGTACATTTTGAACACGGCTCTATGTGGAGTTTGTATTTATAAACATTTCTGGCAATAAAATAGTCCAATGAAAGGTATTGTTTTCTTTTGTTTTTATTATACAAACATTCATTACTCAATCGTAATTATATAGAATTCTAATCACTCATAACTGATGTTTATCAAAGCATTGATTTTCCATCAACCCCATTATTCCACATTGATAGTAAACCGATGGCATTCAATATGGATAATATTACTTTTAATAATGCAGTTTTACTATAATTTTCAATTCCAATCCGGCAATAATTACAAAGTAACGGCTTGTGCCGAGGCTCCTGAGGGAGGCCTCGAGCTTAGTTACTTATAAACGAGGTTTAGGCTAAGTGGCATTTGTAAATGCCTCTTCAAGGCAAACAGTGGCCATTCAGTCACAAAAAAGTTTGAGTAAACCCTGGAATATATGTAGTAAAATATAAATAAAGTTTCAAATACAAGCACAGGAAAGATATTTTAATATCAACAAAGTTATTATGACGGCTTCATTTATGTAAATAGCGCGTACAAACAATGTTTTATTGATGAGAATAGAATATGTCAATTTACTATGGGGTGTATCAAGGACGGTCATCGCCTTGGATACTAGACAGTACACAACACGTGTTTTTTTTTAACTCGACTTCATAACGCTTCAGTAAGTTTCCGGTGTCTGAACAGAAACGTTACGATGTAATAATAAAAATTATGCTCGAAAGGAAATTGGTCAAAGAAACATAGAATTTTAAAACATGCGGGTGCTTCTACTGCTATTTGCATCTTTCCCGCTCTTTTACTTTACGTTGTCACAGACTACACAAAATATTAACATATGTAAGTATTTAAAGAATTTGTGTGTTTTAAAGATCATAGATGCTACAAAATAATATTTATGTTATAGTGTTAATTAACGAAGAAAACAATGCATTAGCTGAAAAATCTTTCGAAGTAGCCAAGGAGTATGTACGACGCAATCCAACTTTAGGCTTAGCCATAGATCCAGTGGTCGTTGTTGGAAATCGTACTGACGCCAAGGCTTTTCTAGAAAATGGTAAGATCTACCAAAGATATGATACAAATTAAATATATTTCTACTATTAATACCTATTAACTTGTAGTTTGTAGAAAATATAACGATATGCTATCTACACAAAAAACCCCTCATGTTGTACTCGATTTTACAATGACTGGAGTCGGTTCTGAAACCATAAAGTCGTTCACTGCGGCCTTGGCGCTGCCGACTATTTCTGGATCGTTTGGACAAACAGGTGATTTGCGACAGTGGCGCTTTTTGAACGCCAACCAAACTAAATATCTTTTGCAAGTCATGCCACCCGCCGATATTCTACCAGAGTCTATAAGAGCCGTCGTCACAAAGCAAGACATAACGAATGCTGCAATCATTTTTGATGAGTATTTTGGTAAGAATCAATACCAATTAGTGAACAATGTATCATGTAGTTACAAAAGTAATTGTGGGTAATTTTAAAATAAGGTACATTTCCAGTTATGGATCACAAATATAAATCGCTCCTTCAAAACATACCAACTCGTCACGTGATAACACCAGTCAAGAGCTTCAGTAAGGAAGACATTAAAACGCAGCTGCGTAGCCTACGCGAATTGGACGTTGTCAATTTCTTCATCGTAGGCAGTTTGAGAACGATAAAGAATGTTCTAGACGCCGCCGATGAAAATCAATATTTCGGCAAGAAGACGGCGTGGTTTGCGTTGTCGTTAGACAAGGGTGACATAAGTTGCGGTTGTAAAGATGCCACGATCGTTTACATGAGACCGACGCCAGATGCCAACAGCAGAGATCGTCTGGGAAAAATAAAGACAACGTACAGCATGAACGGCGAGCCGGAGATAACGGCCGCTTTTTACTTCGACCTGTCTCTCCGGACGTTTTTAGCAGTCAAGTAATGACCTTAGCTATTTTAACGCTCGCATACTGGCATTAATCTGTATTTAGTTCAACGCGCACGCGGAGTGTTTAATTATATCCCCGGCTTATTCCATGACTTCACTTATGAATTTCCAGATCCCTGTTGGACTCTGGCAATTGGCCAAACGACATGAAATATATAACTTGTGACGAATACGACGGTAAGAATACTCCTAATAGGACCTTGGATCTCAAAACCGCATTCCGAGAGGTGCGTTCTTTAGTAATCTCAACAAGATTAACGGACCAAGAAGTTTAAAATGTGAAACGAGAAGCGTCTGAGCTAAATTAGATTAGTTACATAAATTAAAACATAGTCGTTGTTGGCTGTTTTAACCCTTGCCTTGGAAAATATCGTACAATTCTTTTTAAGAGTCGGTTTAATTTATGTCATGCCAATAAAATATAAGTAGATATTCATTCAATTAGCCTAGCACGAGGATTAGAAAACCAGTTTGACATTGATAAGCACGGAAAAGTTGAAGTTTTGTCGTTGTTAAAGTTCCTATCTAATACTTCCGACACCTTTATAAAAAACTGACTTAATTTCTTTAGTAAATAATTTTTTTTAAAAACACCACGAGGAAGTTAAAAAAAAGTCATGTAAAGTAGTCTTTTGTGATCTTTACATGGTCAAAATGAGCTACAGAGCCCAAGTCTAATCTTTTTGTCCCTTAACATATCTACTATTTTTGGATTCATATCAGCTTTACCAGCCGGCAAAGTATTTACCAGCTGGTAAAATAAGCTTAATTTACAGGTAAAAGAAACTCCAACCTACGCGCCCTTTTACATACCAGAAGATGATCCAATGAACGGTAGAAGTTTTATGGAATTCAACACAGATCTGTCAGCTGTCACTGTCAAAGATGGCGCTTCGATCGGTAGCCGGAACCTTGGTTCTTGGAAAGCGGGACTCTCTAATCCCTTAATTTTAACAGACGCTGATAATATGAGCGATTACTCAGCGCAACTCGTGTACAGAATTGTTACCGTGGAGGTGGGTAATGAACTCAGCCATTGTTTGAAATAAAAACTTGATAAAATTCAGTACAACGTTTGTTTAACACTTGCGTAAACAGTCGTGACATTCTTAACGTTACGTCAAAGTTAACTGATACCAATGGTTATCAATGTTTATTTATAATAAACGGAAAAGTTCGCTCTTTTACCGACTTCCAAAAAGTAGGAGGTCATACATTCCTCTGTAGTTTTTTTCGTTAATTTTGTATCCTGTACCAATTTCAATTATTTTCGTAAATGTAATGAGTGTCACATGCACCATAGTACATAATCTTATACGTATATTTCTAAAAGATAGTTTTTTCTAGCAACAACCATTCATTATAAGAGACGACGATGCCCCGAAAGGATTTAAAGGTTATTGCATCGATCTCATTGAGGAAATCCGTCAGATTGTTAAATTCGATTATGAAATCACTCTATCACCGGACGGAAACTTCGGTACTATGGACGAGAACGGCAATTGGAACGGAATTATAAAGGAATTGGTCGAGAAACGTGCAGATATAGGATTAACATCCTTATCGGTTATGGCGGAAAGGGAGAATGTAGTCGATTTTACCGTCCCCTACTACGATTTGGTCGGGATAACTATCATGATGAAATTACCAAGAACTCCCACTTCTTTGTTCAAATTTCTGACGGTGTTGGAAAATGATGTGTGGCTGTCAATACTTGCCGCGTATTTCTTTACCAGGTATGAAAATGATGACTGTAATAGAACATTATAATTTATATAACCAATTTTTGAACTTGAATAGGGAGGCAATACGTTATAAAAGATGTATGTCGGTAAGTATGTCCCTATATAAGGGAAAATAATTTCTAATGGCAACATCCATGATTCTGTTTGCAATAACACCAATATTATGATAACTTTTAACTTTTTGACTTATTACGCATTGAGTTCATTTACGTATCGTTTATTATGAAATAATAGTTTTCGACCGCGACTCCGTCCGCTATGTGTTCTTTCTTCTTTTCTAAAAGATAGTCTACTATCCTCTACAAATGTAGCAAATTTCATTAAAATCCGTTTAGCCGTTTAGGCTACAAACTCTAACAAACCACCATTTATCAATCTGAACTTTCGCATTTATAATATTAGTACGAAGTATGGCAAGAAATAAGATGTTCTGCATTTGAAATTGATAATTTAAAATAAATAATATACAATGAATTAAAAAAAAAGCGTTTGGTGTAAAAAAAAAATAGGAGATGGTTAGATACCAATTAAATTTAATCTTTGAGGAACTAAATATATGCGACAATTAGCATTATGAAACAAAATAATTTATGTACCCTATACATTTTATGAAGCGCGTAAATAAACAAATTCGTGTGACAAAATATATGATGACGTCATTGTATGACTCCTACGTCTGTCGGAAAATTTTTAGTTAATCTAAAATCAGCTTACGGAACAATCTAGAAAATAGTATTTCCTTGTATTAACATTGTTACAAATAAAATAATACTGCATTTTTTTAAATTAATTTACATAAGTCTCAATTGCCAAGTTTTCAACGGTTTGGTTGAAAAAATTCTGTCACATAAGCCATGATTTAACGCCATCTTTCGTATTTTATAATCTATAAATAAATGTTGCTATGTAGCTATGTTTTTTTGCAAGTTCGCTTAAAATAGAACTCTATTTCAAAGCTTTAGGGTTTGATTTAATTCAATACCACTTACAAGGTTTGTTACGTTATATTGATAATTGGGTTTTGAGAACTGGCAATATTTCCTGGATTAAATAGAAGAGAAATATGTTTACGGATCAATTATTTTAGTGCGAAGGACAGCTGTTTTATACACTACTACACCTATAAGGTCCCGAAATAGGAAAAGTTTTTTTTTTTAATTCAAAACGAGTTAAGGATCGCTTTATAGGTGCGGAATAAGTTTAAGAAAATTAAAGTTGGAAATAAAGCTTAGAGTAAACTATGAGAAATATAAAATTAGGTAATATGTATAAATAAATTTCATCGTTTGTAGATATACAAAAGTGTGTAAATTAACAAAATTAGCTTTTTGTCCGATGACCTCATTGCCGGAGTGATTCGCGGTAAAACGTCTCTACCATACTAGTCTCTGCTCTTTGTAACAGAGTAGGTATTGCAGAGTTTCGCTTTATCGCGGTCAAGGTCGTCCTCCAGCACCGTGTAACTTGAATTGTAACTACACTTTACATCACTCCTTGTGTAATAAACGTTAACATTTAAAGACTGTTGCTAAGTAAAAAATTAAAGCGTTTGAAAATAAGTCGCTACTAACTTTGAATCTTATCAGTAGCAAATAAGGTTTAAATTTACTCGATATATATACCTAATCGTTATGTAGCTAAAATAGCCATTGTTTTACAAAATATCAGTATTTGTACGCTTAAAACGTACCTAAATTTAAAAAAAAACACCAACTTTTATGATAAAGAGTTTCTGAACTTTTGTTACGGACGCCATCTGTCGTGGAAGTATTAAAATGTTGCGGTTGCCGTCCTATGCCATTTGCAATGATGTACAAATTCAACATTCAACCTTATTTACATGGTATATAGTGTCATTCTGGTGTAAATTTCTAGTTATAGGCATTAGGATATGTTATTTCCTGTAATTATTCAATTCTATAATCTATACGCATGCGGTATAGATTATACAAGTTTTTTGAAGCAATGTCAAACGTAAAGGCGTTTAGAACGCGTAGTCACAAAAATATTCAAGGTATGGGCAACTGTAAATCTTTTAGGATCTGTATCTTAGGTTATATTTTGTGACTAGTGTCTGTAATATAAGTATGCAGTTTTTCCCGCCATCCCATACAGCACCAAATTTTTATCATGGTAGAGGCCGGACGAAAACAAAACAGTCTGTGTGCTAAAGTCTGCCTTTTGATACGTTCCATAGAACTTTTTACTATTGTCGTCTAACATGAATAGGTACAGTAATGTTGCATCGTAGAGTATTAATTTTTTTTTTCTTTTCCATCTGTCAAAATACGCTTGTAGCGGCTTTTTCAGCATATCGGATAGACATTTTTAATTTATTAAAAGTCGCAGATGCGTTGCTTGCCTCAAAGGACAAGAAGTATAGGAAATGGATATTTTTTTTTGAGTTATGATATTAAATTTAATAAGTTAAACATAACTGTAGTATTAGAAAAGAGTGGGAAGGGTCTAGAATTCGTTCTCTTTCAGTTTTTTGATGTGGGTATTCGACAAATGGAGTCCATACAGCTACCAGAACAACAGAGAGAAGTATAAGGACGACGAGGAGAAGCGGGAGTTTACATTGAAGGAGTGCCTTTGGTTCTGTATGACGTCACTGACGCCGCAGGGCGGGGGCGAGGCCCCTAAGAACCTGTCCGGACGACTGCTCGCCGCCACATGGTGGTTGTTTGGGTAAATCACCTATTACATGAGTCACTAAACTTTTTAAAATGATTATGCACTTTTATACGATTTTTTCTTTTTAAATAAATTGTAACGGGCAGTAAATTGAACGTCGATTAGAGGAAAAAAGAAAAAAATGTTTTTTAATACAGTCTATTGGGTAAGGACGAAACGACTGATGGGGAATGGAGAAAATAATTACCGTAATTATTTATTAGTAGCCCCTTCCTTTTGTCACTTGTAATTTTATAATATAAAGTCATTTTTAAAAGAAAAATTGATTTCAATAAATGGTTGTACTGCTTTTACGTTTCTAGTTTCATCATAATAGCCTCGTATACCGCGAACTTGGCCGCCTTCCTGACGGTCTCTCGACTTGACACGCCCATTGAGTCTCTGGACGACCTCTCCAAGCAGTACAAGATACAATATGCGCCGCTTAACGGTTCCTCTGCGATGACGTATTTTGAAAGAATGGCGCACATCGAAGTGAGATTTTATGAGTAAGTATAATAGTTACTTAATTCGCTTTGTAGATTTCGTATTCTAAAAAATGTCTATTTATTTTATTTATTTACACTTTGTACACAAGGAAAACAATTTACAATAAATACATATAGAACGTTGGTTGTACAGGCGAGCATAACTCTAAAAGAGTTTTCTTACTGCTAACCGTTCGATACAAATTAGATGTTTAGCAGGTAATGACGATGTGCAAAGTAAAAATGTTTGTTATTCTATCTGTCAGCAAGGTTGCTTTTGTTAGTAATCTATGAAACGGGTGGACCGATTTTAACGAGACTTTTACTCAAAGGTTGCCGAAGTATATGGGAATGTAATAGGCTTCATTTACGTGCTAACGAACAAGGCTATTTAAAAAAAAAAACACTTTTGTTTTTATACAAGTAGCCGATACTAATAATAATCTACACAAATAATATAAAGAGGAAAGATTTATATTTTTATATGTACTAAATAACTGAAAAACTATTTGACCGTTTAAAAAAATTGTTACATCATTAAAAAACTACATTATCTGAGTAACAAAGGCTATATTTTTTAATTTCACGGATGAAGTCGAGAGCAACAACTACTTTTAAAAAACCAAATACATATATTGATTGCAGAATTACAATGTTAGTAACGTACAAACAGATTTTGTTTTCAAGACAACGACACTAACATAATATAAAATAATAACATCGATAAATTAGTTTTCTTCATAATACAAGACGCTGCTACGAAGTGCTAATTGCAATAGAAAGTGTTCGCTGTATTATTCCGGATGGATGACGTAAAAAGGGAAATGAAGGAAGTTATGTGTGCGATAAATATTGTGTACTAGTTGTCACTCGCGACTTCGTCCAGAAATTAAAAAATATAGCCTGTGGTAGTCAGCGATAACGGAGTTTTTAATGGTGAAAGTATTTTAGAAATCGGCTCAGTAGTTTTTGAGTCACTTCAATATATACAAAATACAAATCTTTCCTCTCCATAACATTAATATAGATTATCCAGAGGTCGTTTTTACTATATCACTTTCTAGTGATCAAACCCGAATTATTTTTACCATGACCAAACTACACATTTTTTTAAAATCTTACTTCCTACTTACTCATGTTATAAATGCGAAAGTTTAGATGGATGGATGTTTGTCAGAGTTTGTCGTCTAAACTGCTGCAGCGATCTCGATGAAATTTGGCATAGATTTCGAGGATAGCCTTTAAGAACATTTAGATCACTTACCTTCATTTCGGTATTGGTTAAAAATGTTATAGAGCCTTCACAATTTACAAACAGGGACAAAAAAAAAAATAACAGATGAGAATAAAAAGTTTCATTCCTCCTACCTTTTGCGACGATGTGACGGGCAAATACCATTTAATTTTGGGCTGGGGCTTTCTTTTAAATTCACAAACTTGGTGCTTTATTTTTAGGTCCGAAACAAGCAGTTTATGTTGTGGGGCTACGACCTCACTAGGTATCACTTTGGAATTTTTAACTTTGATTACACTGGATTTCTGAACTAGGAGTTAATCAATTTGTGTTTTAAATCTGCCACTATGGTATGTTATTAAGTGACTTTCTCTTTTTTGGAAACATGTATTTACTATGGTGAGGTCGTAAGCCATCGCTGCTTGTAACAATCTTTCACCGTCGTTGTTACGTCTCCCAAAGCCCCACCCTCCGTGTACTCTTTCATATCCTTCATTCGTTCTACCTACATGTCACCTTATTGGTGATAGTGGGACTAAAAGATGGGACGGATGAAACTTTTTATTCTCACGTGGGGTCAGAGCTGGGTGACGGTTGGGATAATCCATTCTTTATAGGTCATGTTTTTCCATTTTATTTGTTTAATTTTGCAATTTTATTATGCAAATGAGCGTTCTGATCCATTCAAGAACATCAATAAGTGATCTTATCATATTGGAATCCAGTTTTGGGTTTTCTTCAATATAAATATTATTAATTCGTTAACTCATATCACATCTAGATATGGTACTATAATATAATGATAAATGATTTGTATTTTTGTATGTATTGAAATAACTCAGAAACTACTAGGCCAATTGCCAAAATACTATTGCTACTGGAAAGCTATATAAATCAATGAATTACGTAGGTTATATTTATTAAACTAGCTTTCGTACGCAACTCTATCCGTCTTATCTTCCCCATTCATATACGCCAAATTTTATCGTGATCCGCTCAGCAATTTAGGCTTTAAAATCTAACAAACATCCATCCAGCTAAACTTTGGCATTTATAATATTGGTAAGAGTAACATTATTTAGATGGTCAAAGACGCAAGTAATAGCTAGTTTTATTTACCTGTTTTATTGTTTCTCTAATAATTTTTTTTATTCTATTTCACAACGTTTGATATAACGGAGCGATGACCAAAATTAGGGTTGTCCAAATTAATAAAAATGGGTTAAATGTAATCGTTATCTAAATATCTTGCTTCTATCGGTCAAGAACCCGGTGCTATTGTGATAAAGTAAAACCTTACGCAAATAAACTCATTTGACTTACGAACTCGTGCTGTACGTTATCATTTTTTTATCTCTTACATATCAGCCAGATATTGAAAGTATACAAAATAAATAAAAGATTATTCTAAAAATAGACATTCAATTATTTTTTATTTTAAAACATTACAGGTATTCATCATCATCATCTCCCCTGCCTTATCCTACTCCCGTAGGGTCGGCGCACCGGGTTTTCGTCCTCCAAAGCATTCTATCATCCGTCATCTCAGTCATCACTCCCTTCTTGATCATGTCACCTTTCACGCAATCCATCCATCTCTTTCTAGGTCTACCTCTACCGATGTACCCCTCCACATTCATAACTAATATCCTTCTTGTCACATGCGATTCATCCCTTCTCATAACATGACCATACCACTCTAACCTTTTACTCCTTATTTTCTCAACCACTGGGGCTACTCTCAAACTTCCTCTAATATACTCATTTCGTATCTTATCCAATCGTGTTACCCCACACATCCATCTTAACATACGCATTTCCGCTACATGTATTCTCCTTTCATCCGTCCCTTTCACTGCCCAACATTCAGATCCATACATCATGACAGGTCTTACGACGGTTTTGTAAATTTTCCCCTTTATTTTAAGGGGAATATGCGGGTCGCATATTACACCTGTAACCTGTCGCCATTTCATCCATCCCGCTTTTATTCTATTTCTCACGTCACGGTCAATATCGCCGTCGTTTTGGATTAATGAGCCGAGGTACCGAAAGTCGGAGCAAACTGGAAGATGGGCGCCATCTAAGGCAATCGGGATAAAACTAGATAAGCCCCCGAAGTCGCAGAATAGCTGCTCCGTTTTCGCTCTGCTTATCTTCAGGCCGGCTGTCTCTAGTTTATCCCGCCATCTCTCCAGTCTACTCTGGACCTCAAGCGCATTTTCCCCGACAAGAACAATGTCGTCGGCGAACAGCATACACCAGGGTGCTTCCTCCTGGATCTATACGGTTAACGCCTCGATAACCAGGAGGAAGAGATAAGGGCTTAAAGCCGATCCCTGGTGCAGGCCCACAGCCACACTGAACTTGTCGGTTACTCCGGCTTCAGACCTAACGTGAGTGTTCGCTCTTTCATACATTGCATTCACGAGTCGCACGTACTTCCCAGGCACTTGTCTTTCTTTCATCGCCCACCACAGAACCTTTCGAGGGACATTACAGGTATTGAAAAATTAAATTTCGAACGCAATACCAATGCGTCTATTACTTATTTATTTTTATAGATTATAGATCGAATAGACAAGAAGACCTTTGCCTCCTACAAAAAAAAATAAAACAAAACATGCCTGAATTCTAATAACCGCAGTTGCACTGTTCTTTGCCTCTAAAGTCAGACACTAATGTCACGTATTTTTTGAGGCAAAGATGAAACAGAGATTTCCATGTTTAGTCATAGAGTATAATTATTTTTATAGAATCTGGAAAGACATGAGTCTGAACGACAGTTTGAGCGATGTAGAGCGCGCTAAGCTGGCCGTGTGGGATTACCCTGTGAGTGACAAGTACAGCAAGATGTGGCAGGCGATGAAAGAGGCTGGTCTGCCTAACACTATAGAAGAGGCCATTGAGAGAGTGCGCGAGTCCAAGAGCTCCAGTGAAGGTATGCATCGCCAGCAATTGATATAGGCATGCAGGTCTATGGTCAAGACGAGGGAAAGCTTGTATTATTTTTAAAATCCAAAGACAATGCTTATCGAAAAGATGACAGTTTTTGGTTGTCGATCTATGAGGGTTTTTATGAATTGCAGGCATTATAATTTTTCGCAGTATTATCTATGTCACATTTCTAGATGTGCCAAGGTCTTCTGTCACCTGATGTCGCCCGTATCCAGAGTCATTAAGATGTCTTCCTTAGTGTATTTTTTTCTCTCGACACCTAGGTTTTGCATGGCTAGGTGATGCAACCGATGTGCGTTATCACGTACTAACCAACTGCGACCTGCAGATGGTCGGTGACGAATTCTCAAGGAAACCTTACGCGATTGCAGTACAACAAGGCTCACCGTTAAAGGATCAGTTTAACAATGCGTAAGTATACGACGGTCATAGATTAATGTAGCCATCTATCTCTATCTTTTGCTAAAGACAGAGAAGGATAGACTTAAAACGATTTTCCGTCTTCTTACTGTGCTTTTTTAATCGATTAAACATTCGAGATTCTTTGATATGTGTAGAGGAAAATGTTTCGCAAATACTACAATTAGGTTATAGTGTTTGTTACCAGCTTAGATAATGAGGCACTTTATGTAAAAGAGCGCGCGGTGACGCGACCGGACTGACATTCACCATTTGAATATATTACCGTTTATTTCTTTGTTTTATATTTAAAATTGGAAGAATAGAGTCATTGTCTGTAGGTAATTTAATTCCTTTTGTAAGTGGATAAATGTTTTTTCTTAAAATCCGTCGCATTTTTAGAATAAGAAATTTCTATCAGAAATGTTGGTATGCACCTGAAAAATAAGTCAGTTTATTTATTAAAAGGAACAATTATTTAATAATTATTTCAAGTGTTAATATCAGTTAGTTTGAACTGTAAATGGTTGATAATTGCAGACAAAATATCCATTTATAATGTAAATTTATACAGAAGTTTAGTGTAATCTTTGTCAGTATATTGTTTGAATGACCTCTGTTTGGTTGTTGCGGTCATTGTCCGGACGCTCGACGCGCCTCCTATGACGTACGAGTCTCTTAAATTATTATTACATTCTTTAATTCGTTTATTTATTACCTATATTAAAGTAGTGACAAAAATGCTTGCAAAATTGTGTTTTATTTGTGAAAATTATAAAGACATTTTATGGCTAATATATGTTTAAAAAAAGTGTTAAAATATTGATTAAATTGAGTATTAAAATTAAAACCTAACCTATACTTAAACATTGCTAAACTGCATTTTCTATAAACGAAAACTTTGCCTGACAATTTCTTGCAGGCGCAAATTTGAAATGTTACAAGTTTTGTAATTAATCTCATCCTAATATTTCCATGATTTTAACACTCACAAACTTCCAACAGTATCTTACAGCTACTAAACAAGCGTAAATTAGAGAAACTGAAGGAAAACTGGTGGAATAACAATCCGATGGCGCGCGCGTGCGATAAACAAGACGACCAGTCGGATGGTATCTCCATACAGAATATTGGGGGAGTGTTTATTGTGATATTCCTGGGTATCGCGCTGGCCTGCGCCACTCTCGCCGCCGAGTACTGGTGGTACAAGTGGCGACGGCGACCTACCATCTCTGACGTCACAAGGGTAGGTATAGCCCAGCCAGAGATTCAAAAAATAAACAGAGGAAGCGTAGTTGACACTTCACTTGAGGCATTTGTCACATGGTCCACTAACAGTTTCAGTATTAGGTCATTTGTGTATATTCTTTTCCAAGTCAAGGCTTAATAAAAAGTTTATTTCATCTTGTACAGTTTGTTTTGAAAAAAAAGTTAAAAATCAAACACTTTTATTTTGCCTTAGAGAGCCTTTGTCTAACTCACACACGTCTCGCTTTGATTCCTACGAGCTCATATGGAGGTCACTCGATTTTTAGTTGTGGACCTAAATAGTTGAATTAGCTGCAAAACAATCGACAATCGCACAACTGATGTAGTTTACTTTCTATTGTCGAAGTACTCGGATTATCACAGCTTAAATAATCTTGGTCCTAGAATTATTAACACTAATATTTCCAGGTGGAGCCTGCTAAGATTATCAGGAACAACGCAGACCCCAGCGGTCCCAAGCCAGAAGGATTCTCTTTTCGATCTAGAAACTTAGGATTAGCTAATTTCAGGAGAAAGTTTTAACTGCACAATTTTAATATTATCCGCCTGTTTGATCTCAAATATTAATTTAGTAATATAGTTAGTGTAATTCAAGACGGGCTCGGAGGATTTTAAACCTACCCTATGCGCGGGTATAAAAATTATTCCAACTACCCGCATTAACGTCATCTAATACATGTGTCCAGGAAAACATACAAAAACCATGGTATCAATACTAATAAATTAAAGGATTTCCGAAATACTTATTCATGTGAAATAATTAGCAAACTTTAGAGGCGTCTAGTGCCCACACGAAGCAACTTCGAGTAGTGGTAAATTGGATCAAATCGTGGTCTTTCCGACTAAGGAATCTGTGGAAGTCCATTGTACACGTCTTTCCCGGACCTCCTTTATAACTGCGAGTTTTAACCTGCAATTCTATCTATATCGTTTGTACCGAACAGCTAGTGTTTTTTTTATTCAAAATCTTATTAGTAAAGTCTATGTCTAATTACACTTGTGTGTTTTGTGCACTATTATATGCGTGAAATACTCAATAAAACGCTTTGAAAATTTTAAAATTGTTTTATTATCTACAATAACACGATATTCTCTTATAAAAAACCTTAAAATCTATAAAGTTATCTAGATAAAAAAATGTACAATAATTTATTAAAAGTCCATCGCCATTGAGTATCATTGTATTATCGTTAATTGGCTAAAAGACCTCGGCAAGAGTTATTTTTATTTACAAGGGATGTCTAAATAAATATTAGTTGCTAGTGAATTTGGTCGTTACAAGTGTATCGTCTTGTGTTGGTTGATGTTATTCTTATTGCAGAGTTCCAGCTCCAATCGTAGTCCGTCCACCTCCGCCTCCAGGCTGCGGGACCTCTTAAACATCTGTACATAGTTTAATTGCAGCTGCTTCTGGTAACGAAGCACTTTATCCTTCTCCTCCGACCACTTTCTTCTTTCGTTATTAAACTGCGCTTCTTTCGCCTCCAACTCGCATTTCAATCGGTCTACTATAGCATTCGCTGGACAAGGCTCCCCACAAGCGTCCGGCAGTTCTCCATTCAAACGTTGAACTTCAGCGTCTTCTAACGCACTGTCACTAGAATTCCAGTGGTACTCGTTACTCTTGCAGTCGTATAGTCCTCGCATCGTCCTCCCACACTCTATCCCCTCGTACCCGCTGAGGGAAACATCGGACAATTCCTGTCTCAATTCTTTTAGTTCCGTTTTTAGTCTTTCGATTTCGTTCTTGCTGCTTTCTTTAGCCTTGTTCATGTCAGCGACGCTCTGCACGAGGTCTCCCGTCAGTCGGTCCACTTCCGACTGCAGTCTGCTCACCGATTTTTCTTTCTCTTCTAACTCGGAGCGCAACCTCATTATGTCTTTTTCTTTTTTGTCGAGCGCCTCACGAAGTTGGCGGCAGTCGGCCTTCATCGTGAGATATTCGTGGCCTTTGGCTGTTTGTTCATTCTGGAAAAATAAAGGAATACAATTATTTCTGTTCTGATTGACGATATTATAATCTTCAGTAGCTTTGACAAATTATAAATTATTTTTGGGCATTACAGCTGCCGCATCTTGTTTTTTTTTGGCAAGCGAAATAAAGTCGTTGAAGTAGTACAGTAGTAGTAGAACAAAAGCATTACAAGTCCCTTTACTACGCGTCACCGCTTGGTCTATCCACTTCCTCTTCCCATCCTTTCCTTATAAGAAACTTTCTTTTCTATTATACTTTGTAGTATTTCTTTTCTTCTACTTTTCTTTGTAACTTTGTAGGGGTCTGTTATGAACACAGTATAAATGTGTGTACCTGTGCTTCTTTGAGTTGTGTCTTGAGTAGCGCGATCTCCCCGGCGCGTTGGCAGAGGCTCCACTCTGCGTCTTCTAGCCGCTGACGGAGCAGTGCTCGCTCGCGACGCACGCGGCCGAGCTCCGCCTCGCGCTCGTCGCGTCGCGCACTCGCCGCGCCCGCCGCCAGACCGCGCGCCAGACGGACACGCGCCTCGTGCCCGATATGACCACGTATGCGTTCACATGTACTACACATAAATACAATCATCATACTAATATTATAAATGCGAAAGTTTAGATGGATGTTTGTTTGTTAGAGTTTGTACTGGCTGAACGGATTTCTATGAAATTTGGCATAGTTGTAGACGATGTTCTGGAACAACACAGGGTACTTACTTTTTTTTTATTCCACGAGGATAGATTCGCGGGCGAAAGCTAGTAAAGCTACTAGGTCGATTTTAATAATTCTTTTACCATTAGAATGGTGTAACTGACAGTAACTTAGGCTACATTTTTTTTATAATTATTATATTCTCGAGGACAAAGACGCGAGCAACATCTAGTCTCCAATTATATACGATATATAAAAGAAGAAACAGTATCTACGAAAACTCATGATAGAACTGACTACTTTTTCTTATTATGAGACCGACTCACCTGTAGTCATGATGATCTCGTTCGAGCTCGGAGACTCCGGAGTCCGCGGGCGAGGGCGCCGGCACAGGCTCCTTGCTGTCCCCACTCACCAAGCAGCTTGACTTCGTTCTGAAATAATAAATACAAACGGTTAAAATGATTTATATTTGCGTGTCAATATCAGTTTTACCACCCATGTGCGAGATTTCTATTACGCCCTATTTTACCTTTAGCGTGGCGGTTATCATAACCTCAAATTATCTGTTCCCATACTATAAATTAAATCGAATTATTTAATGAGGACGAAAACTTGAGTTGTTTATTGATATCATAATAAAATAAATTTCACATCGACATTGTTTTATCATATAATAAAATTTAAGTGTCTGTTTGTAACAAAAGAAAAATTCCAGATTTCGGGAAGATAATGTATTTGCGTTGCTGATAACGAAAAGCGCATTTAAAAAAGCAAGCCGTCTCCGAAAAGGCTGGGCCGATTTCGACACGACTTTCACTGGAGGGTAGCTGACAAAGATAGACATATCATAGACTATATTTTTATTAATTCCGTCCGAATTTACGCTACCAATTTTGCGGGCGACAGCTCGTATTTTACAACCCTATTTTTATACTGCAACCATCAACATCATACAAACGATCAGATTAACATACGTACATTATTAAAAATACGTAGGGCATTAATGCTATCAATATCTGACGCGCTCGAGGATTTCCATGCCAAAGTTTTATTACATATTTAAAAATCTATAGCCGCTTCCCCCACCGATGTAAAGGTATATATCACATAATATTTTTTTTTCTTCTTATCATCTAAGCTGTATCCCAATAGGTCTCTACGACGCTTGAGTAAATCCCCATTTAGCATTGTGGGCTCCCCTACTATTTGAATATATTTTCAATTTAAGAATAACAAATCCAATCAATGACAGATCTGATGTAGATATTAATCGATAATTTTATATCGCGGTGAAAGGTAACTCGATCGGTAAGTGGAAGTTGGGCGTATAATAAATTTAGAAATCCGCAACTGATGGCGAATTTAAATGGGCTAATTAGGAAAAGTATCTTAAAATCTGAATGTCGGCCACCTGTACTACAGTAACGGTGAAATACTAAATGCAGCCTTGACACAGGGCTGTCACAGACTGAATAAAATTAGTATTTTCTATGATAATTATAAGTAATTAATTAATCAAACATTTATTTTTTTGTAAAATTATTCTTATCAGTCAAAAATTTTGTTTGGAAAAATTTAATTTGTACTTCGTATAGCTCCTAGTTCAACAATAATTACATTAATGTTACTTAAATGTTAAAAACAACAAAACCTTTTTAACATAAGTAATAAAATAAAATGTAAATAATTGACAACCCTATTCGCATTAGTGAAAATGCTATCTCCATTGACCTGTTATGGTGAACTCAATGACAACATACAGTGAATTTGTTTAAAAGCGCAATTGCTTTCGAACGGTATCAGGCGCTTTTAGTACTTTATTAGGTTGTTTACATACGTTTCTCTTGAAGTCTCTCGTTGGTTTGTATGCAATGACTGAATAATTCTGAATAATTAGGGTGTTATGAATGGAACAAAACACCATCGAATAAACCGTTAGAATAAACGACACATTTAGTAAAAACAACGTGTTGTCAAATGACTAAAAATTATCAAAAACTTATATACCGTTAATCGTATTGTTCTGTGTTCCCCGTGAAACATTTTTTAAGGCTAGTTTTACACGAGGGTAGGACAGCGAGGCAGAGTAGCAGACAATGCGATGCTCTTGTTTGAACGGTCAATTAATATCAAAACTAATCCCTCATTGTTCAAGCAATAGGAGCTGCAGTGTCTACTGTTGTACCCTCGTGTGAAAATAGGCTTTCGCGGTATGAACTATGATTACGCGAGTAATGACGCAGTATGGAGAGCCACGGAGCGGAGAACGTCTTGCATCGTCGACCAACCATGAACGAATGACTGCGGACTTTGAATAACTCTGTTTTCTTATGTTATATTAGAGTTGATATAAAATGTAGTTCAATTACAGCCTAAGTAAAATAAAATAGTTCTTTTACACAATAATATAATTGGTGACAAAGTAATTGTGCTTCGATACTCAGTTTACCGATTCCCGTCAAAATTCGCGCGCTGGTCTTTAATACTTCTGAATGACATTGACAAATGTCATAGGGATGGGATGTGTATGTCAATAATCTAGTGTTGCGACGCTACTTCGGCACGGTACCGATTTCTTCTAACAGTTCCAAACCAAATAGGTAAGGATAAATCTCTTAGCATAAGCCTATACCTCACTTGGATTGGATACAATTACCTTATATTACCAAAATGTTTTATTTTAAATTCAATTGTTTTTGTTTAAATATTAAGTCAACCTTAAATATTAATGGATCATTGTTAATGTTTTTCCGGAATTTAGCGCGTCTAGAAATTATTGCAGTTACGCTCTACTTATTAAATATGTTAAGTATCTATTTAAATTTTGTTTATTTATTTTGAATATTATTTTTCTTCACGGCCAACTCACTGCATGGTTCGTTTAATCGGAAAAAGAAGTAAAAGCATTGTAGGAGACTTTTACACGTCTGTGGAACTTAAATCTATAAGTTTTCGTTTATTTCCTTATACAATTTAACTGACCAAAGTCCCAATGATTTCATCTAAGGGACATTATAATACAAATACAATTTACTATTCCGTCTCTTAGAATAGTGTGGACACTTCAAACTAGTGTGGACATAACAAAATTGCCATTAGGGATAGTGCCATTTTTTAGGAAAACATTTAGTTAATTACGCCAGATCTATTATTTTTAAGAAAAACAGTTATCAGTCAATGAGGCTTGAAACCGTGACAATGACAGAACTAAATTAAGTAATTGTTAGCGCAAACCTTGAGTAAATCAATTTGCGAGATAAATTCGCGTGTCTGGCAAATGGTATAATTTAACGAAACTATTAAATCGTGTTTCAACAACTAATATAGGCCACATGCCATCATTACAGAAGTGACCTTAATAAGTTTACAAGCGTACAAGCGGGTTCTTTTTAACGTAAATTGTTTGAACCTTTTTCGATATCAATGTGTACTCGCCTTTAAAGTGAAAAACTAAAATAAAAAAGAGTAAGTCTGGTATAGATGTAAACTTAATTGTTATTATTGTGACGTTTATGTAATATAATATTTGTATTTTTAATAGGTTAGAATATATTTTCTTGATACAATCAGTCAAAAATACGTTCTTGGAATTTTAATATCAAATAGATTATTCTCTTATTAAAAAATAAAACCAGGTGTGCTATTTATAAGTATTTTGATTGATATAACGTTATTTATTAAGTCTTAACAATTTTTTTATAACCTTGAACGTAAAAAGGATTTTTAATAAATCTTGTTATTAACAAGTATAGGATATATAATAATTTAGAATTTATGATTATAGACTGACAACTAATTTATAAATATAATGATGACAAATAAAAAACATTTAAATGTGTTACATGATAATAAAAGTTCATAATTAAATTCATAAAGTTCAAAATTTACAATGCTCGTAAAATATAAATATCAAAAGATTGGTCCAAATGATTGGTTCAAATGTTTGGCGAACATTTGATCCAATGGCACCTATGTTGTAAGTTCGCAGATGATGGTTAATTATTCTGTATGTAGGCGAACGCAAATTAGTTGCGTGTGATCATCGGAGCATGTTTCCTGACATCTCGCAAACATCCTATTGTTACCACGGCGGGGATAAGCCGTGAGAGAACAAGCCACATTATATCTAGCCACATATATAGTCAATTTTGCCTCAATATTAGGATTAGAAATATGTAATGTTAAGAAGTAATCGGTATCGCACCGGAGTAGCGGCGCAACACTAAATCATTGACATACACTCCCCATCACTATGACATCTGTCAATGTCAATTAGAAGTTTGAGAATAAACGCGCCATTCCTGGTGGGAATCGGTCGATTGAATATCGAAGTATAGTTAAGTTGTTACAATAATATTATTGTTTAAAAGTTATAACATCCATTTTGGCCACGTTTAGTCCTAGATAACAGACACTGTCATTTAATTAAAGGAAAATTAAGATTATCATCTAGTTTGTATAAGCTTAGTCTTTTTGTTTAAATGTGTTCACGAGGAGAATTGACGTGCGTGTTACTACGCCTATTTCGTGTCAATTTGGTGCACGAATACGCAGTAGATATTGAATTAATAATTTTTTTGTCATGTCTTTACCTCGACAGTACTAATATATTCCATTTCGTATTTAACGACTGTCAAACAATGCACTTTCTACGGTTTTGCATATTTTATAAGGCATTTATAAATGTTTGTTTGCATGAAGTGTTTGAACATTGATAAAATGTAACCCCAAATGTTGTAAATGTCAACTATGACATATGACGTCACATTTTTAATTTGTGTCTAAAGTCTTCAATGTAGGTTATATCACCACAGTCACGGAAATTTATTTTCCTACCCATTTTGATTTGCAATAAGATCGAAAACATTATATGACTGTTATATTACAGCTTCATGGTGAGAGTTTGTTGTATTCGATCCAAGTGGGAAGCGAATTTAATTCTTTAACTGTACATATAAGAAATGCGTAATATATCATACAAATAAATTCGGAAAGTAAAGGGAAAGTAGAAATAAATTACATTTAATGTTAACAGCATTACAAAGACTTGACATCGACCACATGCTGGCAAAGGGGCAGTTATTTTTGGATATCCATAAAGGAAACTGCATTCCCCATAACTGTGTTTAGTCTTAAATATAAATGGAAACGTTTAAAAGATAATTGAGGATATTTTTAAAACTGCAATTTAGAAAAAAAGACGTAATAGAAAATATAACAACGAAACTATGATCATTTTTGCGGATGATTTTTGAAATGAACCCAAAAATGTTATAACATGTAGCTGTCGCCCGCGAATCTGTCTGCATGTAATTAAAAAAATCTTGATTAACAGCCGTTGATACGTAGTAAGTAACAAACATGCATCCATTCTAACACTTGCATTAATATTAGTAAGATTGAGAAATCTCAATTGACCACAAAGTAGCCA